GGGGGTTTCCTGTTCCGCCCTCTCTCATGACGGCCGCATAGACACACCTCCTCCGATCAAAAACAGAAACATGTCCTGCAAACTGAGATTTAAAACCTGTTTGATGTTAAAAACGCTGAAAGCAGGAAAAATGGAAACGAGAGGAAAAGAAAGAAGAACGTGACGCAGTAAGTGGATGAGGACTGGTGGGCCTGCTATGTGCTGGCAATGCTGAAGACAACATGAGGCAGACATCCCTCCAACCTGCCGGGCAAATACGGAGATTATCTTACAAGAAATTCAAGAATTTCAAAAGGAGAGCAAAACACACAGCTCGAAGATATAAAAGGTCATTTTACCTTAGATGTCTTAGACCAAGAGGAGAATCGGAGAGGTGGAAAACCGGACTGAAGCAGGCGAACGCAGAGCTCAAATACTGGAGCAGGTGATGAAACATGTGCTCAAAGCTCCAGCCCGACACGATGGAGAACTTATGGACCAGGAGGAGCCAGGAGAGACAATATTAGGATGTATAATGTCACAGAAAATGAAGAGGGGAGGTTTTGTGGAGAAACTCAGAGAAAACCTGGACAGTCCACCGGACACTGAGCTGCACACAGAGCGCTCACCTCCAAGCCTGCCTCCACTGAAAGACTCAGATCGATGGTGATCACATTTCACACTACGAAACAAAATTCTGCTTAAAGCACGTCTGTGAAGGTTCTCAGTCACGGATTAAGAAAGACATGAAGGCAACAAATTGGAGGATTTATTTCGATCATGATTATCTGACAGCGGTGCTGAATAACCAAAGAATACAACGAAGTGAAGCTGAAGAAAATCAGCTTCAATCTACCACTCAGCTGATGAGGCTACAAAACTCCGAAGGACCGAGGATCCCCGGTCAAAGACCCCCCAGTGGATCCTGTGGAGCAGCTGATCCAGCAAGCATGGAGCATCCCGGGAGAGAACACACCCCAGGGCAGCAGCAGAGACAAGCTCCAGGTCTGCTGAAGGAAATCTCCTCATAAGAACCAAAATAATAGTAAAAGGCAGTTACAGGCAAAAGGTGTGTACATCCCACCCTGCAGTACTTTCTCTTTTTACAAGCAGAAGTTGGTGATTAGCCAGTCTAAAGGTGCGTGGAGGTGATCTGAACATACACTTAAACCCCAAACAAACAGCTCCAACAAAACAACCGGTACAAAAGTGAAAGAGCTGATGGAGGACATGGGTTTGATTGGTGCTCCCTATTCCACACTCATCATATATCAGAATAGACCAACGCAGGGACAGATCAAGAGCTATCGAGTCGGACGTGGGAACAGTAGACCTGAGCGAATGCGCCCTGATAAATATTGTAGTCGACTAAAGAGAAACAACATGGAGACTTAGGCCCAGCCTACTTAACGATGCTAATCTTAGGAAAGAATGAAATTCAAAAGTACATGAAAGAAAATGATAATGGAGAGGTGTCCTCACAGATAAAATGACTGCAGCAGCCTCAAGGAAAAAGAAAGTTCAGCAGGAAAAACGTCACGATTCCCAAAAAGAGCTGGAAAACAGCCGTGCACTGCACTAGAATCTGAATACACTGAAACAAGAAATCAAAAGAACTTCACATACACTCGGGAGACTGAACAGAAGATGCTACTTTGTAGACAAAGACATAAATTATTGGCACAGAAACATCAATATACAAAAAGGAGATCAAGCTGGCTTTCAACATAAACCCAGGATGATACAAGACAACGGCACACAGAGCGGGCTGTGATCCTTGAAGAGGCTTTTGGCTCTGATAGTTGGCAGTGCTGATACAGAGTACTGCAGAAGGCTGTGCCTCGTCTCCTCTTTGCTGCAACAGAAAAAAAATCACAGGTGTTGCAATAAATGTCAGTGATGTACGTTTATACTTCAAAACACCCGAGGAGTCCCTGCCTGAGGTAAAGAACTGCCTCAAAAACATTGGTCCAATGACAGGATGTAAACTGAGGTCCTATAATTACAGTCCATGTGAAAAACCCAAACAAGCAGACCCACTGAAATGGAAACAAAATTACAACCATTTATATTAAAGAGACAGGATCACACCTCCGAGCATAAGCTCCACAATAGAAAACATCAAAAGATTTCTGTATGTTTCAGTGCCTCCCACTCAGGATTAATCACAAAGATTTTACTGAACAGGATAAAACGATCTCTAGATTTATATGACAAAACATTAAAAGAGAACAGTGGCTGGGCCCACCGCGTTCAAAAAAATATTGTACTTGAGCAATGATGCACTGGTGGGATCCATCACATGGAACAACAATAACCAATACGCATGTACAGGCAGTGCTGGCAGACAACTCTACAGGGTAAAATGGTGAAAAGAAAATAAGCTGGAGAAGGATACAAAATATCGAAATGTGTGCATATGATTCAGAATCTACACCAAATCAGATAGATGCTAGGTTTAAAAACTGGATAGAAAAAGGACTCCATATGTGGCGTTGTGAAGGAAGACGAAGTCTCCAAACTTTAAAGCAAACATTTAGAAAATCGAGACCACTACAGACATCTCCAGCTAAGAAACTTTATACTCCAAACATTAAAGGCCAAAAACCAGCGAGGCCGTTCATCCAACTCTTTCTAAATGCTGAAAGGTCAGAAACTAAGAAAGCTGTGCTCTCACAAATATACAAAAGTCTTCATGATTTCAACAATCACTCAACAACAACTGTGGCCGAGGCAGCACACCACTACCATGTGTGTTGGGACTGTAAGCATATTAATAACTACTGCAGAGACGTTCAGGAAGTGATACAAAACATCTGTAGCACATA